ATCATAACCGCACCCGCAACACAAACACCAGCTCCGACGTAATGCGTCCACAGGTACTGATGGCGCAGGATGAGGAAACTGAGGAGCATTGCGGTAGGTATTCCCAAACAATCAAGGAGTTGTATGCTTGTCAAATTTGTGTAAGCATAGGCGGTCATGGTTGCCCATACGGAGTGAACCAATATGACTCCCATGGAAACACACAGAACTAGATTGTTTAGGCGTTTTTCTTTTGGCTTGCTCGAGTCGCTTGCTAGGTGAGCATGTTCCATCAGCACTGACCGATTTTTGTTATGCTGGAATTGTACTGAAAGTCGAGTGAAATTGCAAACCAGCAGTAGCAAGAGAAAGTATGGTAGGTTTTGTGCAAAGGGTAGGCTGAAATTCCAGTGTGATAGGAGTGCCGTGCATGTGTCCGATGCAGCCAGTAAGAGAGCCAACGTCTGACCCACTAACAGAGACCAGACAACTCGCTTGCATGTTTGTCGTCGTTGCTCGGTATTCGTTTGGCAGCATGAGGTACGAGCTGTTTCGTCGCTCTCCGCGGGAGTAAGCGCATCCTTCAACGTATACTCTGGGTTCATGTTTGATTAAAATCGAATCGGCGCAATTCATTCGTGTTATCTATGTTTTACTGAAAACGTTAGGAACGGATCAACATGTACCGTAGTTTGTAGGATCGCAATTGGTCATCTCATAAAGGCGGTGTCTTTCTGAAAGCTGATTGGCCAATACGTCCATTTTGCTTAGCGCTGCGATTGCGCGTGACGTTGAAGCGATTAGCTTGATTCATGCGCAACATGAATGATCCAGGGGGTCGGTTGCTAACTTGAGTATGAAAGAGTGAACTTGTTCTCACGATTCACCACATGTTAGTCCACCGATAATGAGGCCGGAAACTCGACGCAAAATAACCTTAAGTAATGTTCAGTATGAACGAGGCAAGACTGGTCGATAGCCAACTATGGTTTGATTGCATGTTCCTAATTCATCTCTCGGTTCCCTGTTTTCCGCCTAAGGCGAGCTCAGTCAACATAAACAAAGTATGTGCCGCCACATGTGCATAGTAGCTTCGAAAAGTAGGCGCCTAAAATATGCTTAGGTAGTTTTGTTTGTTCAAAACTTTAGGAAAGAATATCATGTGTGGAACTTGTCACAGTGTTTTGTGAACCGGTTTGCTTCAACCTTGCTTGAGAAGTAGCCCGATGATAAATCTTTGGATCACAGCAGATTTCCGAAGAATGGTCCAAGTGATACCAGTCTCTTTGGAGGGAAAGTATTTGACTGTCACGTGGAATGACAATAATAATAGTAATAATATTAATACTCGTGCCCACGTTTGTATTACAGCAAAAAATCCATCATAAGACTGCGTAAACTCCTTTATTTTTGCCATATGAATGAAGCTACAATAGTACCAAGTGGCATAATTGGCAAAAATTGAAAACTGGGACAAAGACCTGTAAAAGTCAGGTTGTGAACTTCACTGAAAATGCATTTTTATTACTCATCTAAACGATTTTTGCCCCTCCACAGGTATTCCCTATTGGGTTCGCCACATATTTTTGAACACAAATTATCAAATGGATTACTTTCCGAATCATCTATGCATTGTCGATTGGCTTAGTCACTTGCTACCATGCCCTAATTAAGTTAGCTTAACACAGTTTTCTACTGTGTGCAGAACTATATTTTTCGTCTAAGTTCAACCACCATTTCATGCAATCGCGCAGCCTAATAGGACGAGACACGAAGAGGGTTTATACACCGATCTTTTTTTGGATTCCCTGGAACACTTGATTAGAAGAAGCAATAGAATTTTGAAATGCCAAAACGGTGGCGATTTACTGGTGTTCCGTCATTGTGTATCATACCGTACTTATTTTTATACAAGTGTTATGCGATTAATTCGACTATCACACGAATATCGAGGTAGAGGAGGATGGACACTTTATTGGTGAATACATCTAAGAAGATGATGTTAGACTGATCCCTGTAGCAAGCATCACAAGCACGGAGGCCACGGATTCGAAGTTCTCTGGAGTTTCGCGAGCTTCGCACCGTCAATGATTCGATGGGATAACTGTGCAATGCTTCTCGGCTTTAAAGAGTAGAGTGAGTTCCTTTACACGACAAAATCTCCATTGAAAAAGTATATTAGCGGCTTTGCACCCTCTTCGAATGTAATGACGCAAGACTTGTCATTATCCTCAACCTATCACAGGCTTAACCATTTGCAAACGCCAGGCAATGTCCCAGAGCTCCAGTACACTCTAGGAAAAATACCGTCTGTATAAAATGAGATCCTGCTTGTCGGATGGCTTTTCTGTAACTCATCCAATTTATCTAATTCGAAAAGCAAACAATACTAATTATTTTCATAAAGGAAACTACTCACAAGGTTGCTGAAAACTCTTTGACAGCCCACGACCGGTTTCGCCCTTCTTGGGGCTCATCAGGTAGGCGCAGTCCCCGAGTTTCCGTCAACCTTATGATCTACTTGAACCCAAATTGCACTGTTTTCGAGAAATACACTCATCTGCAAATCAATTTGGTTTTCACGGGAGACTCAATTGAATCTCTCGTTTATGATGTTCTCCAGCTGAATGTGCTGCACACAGGCCGACCCAGGATTCAGTTGGCACGATATTCGAGATATCGAAGTATAAGCGAGAGATTCAATTGAGTTTCCCGTGAGAACCAAATTGATTTGCAGATGAGTGTATTCTCGAAAAACAGTGCAATTTGGGTTCAAGTAGATCATAAGGCTGACGGAAACTCGGGGACTGCGTTTCTAAACTGAAACCTGCTTGCCCTTTTAAGTTTTAACTCCAGTGTCACTAGAAGCACCGCTTCACCAGCTTTTATGTTTTCGTCCCCTATACTTGTGGAATTCATGCTGAAAATCGTGCCGCGCGTCAGCGACTTCATTATATTCTTTACAATGGTGAGTTTATAAGCTTTAAAGTGTGTATATTCCATTTGCTTAGCTCAACATGATCTCCACCATCGTAAGGTATGTAAGGTTAACGCTTTCCTAGTAGCCAAGCATTCAACTAATGTGCGGAGAAGATAAGGGATTTATAGAATGTTTGATAAGAACCGAAGTACGCAGACCAGAAGATGAGCAGTAGTCTAAATTGGGTGCTCCAACAATCACAATGCAAGAGACATTGCCTGCTTGTGCCATTAGTGACCCTTTTGGAAGACCCGCACACTGGGCCAGACGTTGATATTCCACTGATGCGGATTGATGTCGAAAGGGAGGGATTTATAGAACGTTGAAAAGAAACCCGCTTTTGCACAATACAAATGCAACTAAATGCAATTTTAGGTAAGATAGGGGCCCACGACCTCTCGATTATCAGGCACGTGTTCTACCGACTAAGTTACTGCGGATGCGGAAGACTGTGAATGTGATTGTCTTCAGAAGGTGTCTACATTTCGTTTTGCATATTGCGTACTTTAGTTCCAACTAAACATTCCATGATGCTCCAACTGAGGAGGTGGTAAATGCACACAATCATAGATGATACCCCTGAATTCAGACGTAAAAGTACGCTTGCCAAGAAGTGCGTGTGTGGTGCTGCCATGTGTTCTTTTGGAACGGATAACCCTAGACAGTCTTTGACACGATGTACGGAAAGTGAACCTCTTCGGGTTTCTCCTGTAACGGATTCAAGATATGCTCGGAGAGTATCCCAGGTATTCATTCCTTCGACTGCACTTGGATTATTAGCCGATCGATCGCGTGAGTGCCTAGTTTATGGAGGGTCTCGTGTGCCATAACGCTCGGAGCACAACTATAGTGACTTGCTCCCGATGCCTAAAAGTTCGCGGTCAGGTACAAAGTGTGATTTAGCACGTGTAGCAGGTTTCATTAACTGTGCTTTAATGATAATTTCGCTGCAAGATCTCATCCCGTCGAAAGGGAATGTAGTGGACATCTGGAAAACCTTACTGGCTACATCTGTCGCGCAAGGAAAAAATGAGTGATTGGATTCCTCATGTTTCTGGTCCCTAAAATGGATAGCTTACCTGTGTAATATAAGTACGATTGTATGTACTGTCTGCTTGCAAAGCAAATTCCATGCCACTCTGTTGTAGAACTTATTTCTGTGGCAAGGCTCAATCAAATCGAGAACTACAGTGGTTTGACCAACAGCCAAAGTAGGTGTGCGGGGGGATATCTCGATAAGCCGAGGAATGCATCACGTAAAGGTCAAACTGAAGAGTTCGAGTAATCATTTATCAGAAAGTTGTAGGTATCACGTGCTTGAGATGAAGTGTTTAAAAGTCAATCGGAATTTGAGGAAACATGGAAAAACTCGGGGGGAATAAAAACGTGACTGGAATCGGCGAAATGCATCCATGTGTAAACAAGTTTGATTTTGCGAGAGACTCACCTAGAACCCTGCTTAATCGCTCGTTCATGATGGAATCGCTTAACAGTTTTACGTGACTTTCGTGGATTAATGGAGTTAGCATATTCGTGGATAGGAAAAATTCATGAGAAGAGATAAAGTAGCATGGGAGTTGGTGACGAGAACTGATGATATTTGCCAGTTGTGTATTGTGAATGGTTTGTGGCTTCGGAACTAGCGAAGATCGCCTACGATAATCCAGTATCTCTTGGATCTTTGAAAGACCACTCACATTCAGTGGTAATAGGGAGAAACGACATTTAGGCATCACGCCGCTTAAACCAAGTTTACATCATTTCATAGGGTTTGTTCATCAGAACTCCAAAGACTACATCGAATCACTCTTCCTCATTCTCTGAAGGAAGATCACCTTTTCTTCCTCATTAAGAGTCTTCGTCCGTGGAACTTAGGGTCCATTTCACTGAATACCTGAAACGAACATACAGTCTAGATCTGGGTCTGAATCGTTATGAAATATCTAACCACAAAGCTGCTGAGTGCAGCTCATAGACCATACCCACAATGGTATGATGACTTACTGCCTCATCGATTACACAAATTGCAAATGATACATCTTGTCGGTCCACTGCGACTCAGATGGTCAAACCTAACTTACCAAGGGCCAGTGGCCCAGCTATACCAAATAACCTTGTGATTGATTCTTCTTATTTTGGCTGGTCTTCAGAGCCAGATACTTAACTATGCTGGTTGAATCAACTCATATGTTCTTGGAGTCGTGTTTTGAGAAAGTAGGGTGTTCAACACCAGGGCTAGTCAAACTTAAGACAACGTTATACGTGTGAGCGACCCACAATTCTAGTATTCCTGGATTTCCGAGGCGCATTCGACTCGGTTGACCGGTCTCTTCTTCTTGACACGCCTGCCCACCAAGGAAAGTTTGTAGACATAATACGTTCTCAGACTTGTAGACATGTGAGAGTATACGGAGAACTCTCCAAAAGCTTCCGTACACAAAGCGGTGTCCATCAGGGATGACCACTCTCTCCATTCCTTTTTAACTTCTCGATCGACGAAATAATGAGACGAACGCTGGGAGGTCTCCAAGACCCTGATGTTCAAATAGCCTGTGAAGAAAACCTTGTGGACCTGGAGTACGCAGACGACATCGTTCTCATCTTCGAAGAGGAGGAATGCGCAGGTGTTTTTGGATAAACTGACCAAAGTCTTCCCGTCCTTAGGTGTGTACTTTGCACCTACAAAGTGTAAGGTAACGCCCGTGGACATGCGGTCACTGAACACGCCACTTACAATCCAGGGAGAGGTACTGGAAGTTGTGGAGCGTCTTACGAAGTTCTATTGTGACAGATGATGTCAGTGCACGAATCTGTAAGGCCCCGGTAGCGTTTGCTAATTTGAGACACCTATGGTGTCAAAGTAGTGTATGCTTGAATCTCAAGCTACCTTGCGGGTTGTTTCGTTGTATGGCTTTGAGACTTGACCTGTTCGAGCAGAGGAACTGAGACTTCTTCAGGTGTTCGACAATCGTTGTCTCAAAATCATAGTTCGTGTGGGCTGGTGTCGGCGAATCCGTAATTAGGCAGTTAGAAAGCGCATTTTCGGTTGTGCGACGGGTACTTCCATTGAAGAGTGTGACCAGCACCAAAAGCTGCGTTGATTGGGACATGTGTTGCGTATGCCTAGCCATCGTTCGCCGAAGTGAGTGCTGTTTTCCAGCTCAGAATGGCGTAAGCAGAATGAAGGCCAACCCTTTACTTGGTAGATGGGTATGAAGGAGATTACGAAACGCTTGGGTGTTGTCGGTGCTGCTCGCCTTCCAGGATTGGAAACGCGGGATCCCCACGGCGCTTGGCTAGAGACACTACAAGATATGGCTGCCAAATGATGTCAGTGGCGTCCTTGTTGTCAGTTTTTATCCAGGTTGCCTGGGTGAATGTCTGGAGGTGTATGCACCTCGGAACGATTGTGGTAAACTAACACTAAGTCCCTTCCCCGTCCACCTTTGCTCTTTTCTTTACAATAAGGTTTTCAAATAAATCATGGTTGTACGGCAGTAAAGCATCGGTGCTGGACACTGATATCATGCTGTCGATGATGATGATGATACTCAAATTTTATTTATTCTTTCTTCATCTCTTCTTGCGCCAGCTGCGATGAATGCATTGTCTGCTGTCACACTTCACAAAAGTTACTTTGATCTGTGCTTTTGGGATCCGCCAACCGTGGTCAATCTGAAAGAAGTCGCACCTACAAAAGGGCTTAGCAGATTCACAATCAGTTTCAGGTTTTTTAGAATAGTAGCAAAAGAACTTTCCAGGAACGAACATATCAGTTGCGTCGGAATTGAGGGTCATTTCATCAGGAGTATCGTACTTTTCAACGTGCACGCTCAATTGCATACCAATTTTATTTTTACAGGAGACACTGCAACCGAACTAAATCTCTCGTTTATGATGTATAAGTCAAATTTCGTGCATTTTGGTTTCAAGTAAAATATAAGGTTGACTGGAACGTAAACTCTGACCGCACAATGGCAGAAAAGATGTGCACGTAAAACCTGCCTAGACTTGACAGATTAATTGAACTCCGTCTTCGAACCTTTGACCACCAGCACTTCCGTAACAAGGAACGGGTTATTCTAGTAACCTGGGTTCGTTATAAATCGGAACATGTTAACGTTATCTACAAAACAGGTTCCCATTCAACTGCCCTGCTGGCAAAAATTTCGATGGGAAACAGACTGGACAACTCAACATGAAAGCAATCCAACGGAGTGCTGCGAGTTGGGATCCTTATGTTGGGAAATGCTACGGAACATGGGACGTCACTGATTCCGGTATTGATCGTGCTGCGATTCCCATAGTGAACTTCCGTGCAAGTCTGTCTGTCATGTTCGGTAAGGCCCGCAAAGGATGCTTGGCTAACCCGCCTGATGGAAACGTACTCCAATGCATTGCTTATATCGATTTGTTTCAGTGTTTGAAACGTAAAGCATTTTTCACACCAAACCCCATCCATTCTGCCTTTCTACTCTCCACTAGACATCCTTACTCTGCGGTCCCGCAGCATTTAGGAACGGAATTCGCTACTGCCCACTAAACTGAAAGCCAACGTTCAATAGAACAAACATTCATTAGTAACCAACGTGAATGTTCTAATGGGAGGCAAGTAATATAGTTGGACGCTTTCTTTTTAAACTCAATGGACATGGTCCTAAACCCGATTAATAAGTTAGGTCATCTTCGGATCAGCTATAAATCACTCTTTGAGCACTTTGGAGGAAGTCGGTGGCTTGGCTTGCGTCATAAAATTAAATCTTTAGTAATTGCGCTCCGTCGCTTGAAATGTGCAACATAACCCAGCGGAGGAATGATCCACGCACTGACTGGCATAAACTTTTGGGCAACTCTGGTGTAGGCACAGCAAGCACATTTTACTTCTTTGAGTTACGGTAAGGTAGGCTCGGTACACAACCAATATATTAATTCTCGATGGAAACCGACTGTCTAAGCTGCTCTCTTCGGGAAGGTATTTAGGACATATTAGTTCCTTAAGAGGTAAAGAGACCAAGAGGCATCATTGTAAATTATTGATCTTGAACAATAAACGTGTACATTTATCATACACCTAGCCATAACTTGTTCCACAGCACAGTGCGGTCTATTCATTTATCGGTCGCATTAGCGACCGACTGCAATCGATCTTCTGCTCTTCTGGGAACAAAGATTAATATCTAGTAGTGAATTTCCAAGCACTGAGGCGTTAGTCCTCCAGAGAAGCGGAACCGTCGGCAGACACGGATTAAAATAAGGGAAACTACCCACAAGGTTGCTCTAAACTTCTCGACAGCCCACAACCGGTTTTCCCTTCTTGGGGCTCATCAGGTGGGCGCAGTTCCCGAGTTTCTGTCAACCTCATGTTCTACTTGAACCCAAATTGGACTGATTTCAACAGGTACACTCATTTGTGAATTAACTTACTTCTCATTAGAGACTCAACTGAATCTCTTGTTTATGATATTCTTCAGCTGGATGTGTTGGGCAAAGGACCCTCATGTTCCAGTTAGCAAAATATTCGAGATATCTTAGTGTGTCTCCATAGAGAAAACTATTCACAAGGTTCCTGAAAACTCTTCGACAGCCCACAACCAGTTTCACTCTTCTTGGATTGAAATAAGTAGTAGATTCTCATGTGGCCGAAAATGGCAATACTAGTACGCCCTTAATGCCAGTGTGGGTCCAAGAGAATAGGCATGACAAACAAATGCTCGTTGTAAACCCTGAACTGGCCTAAACTTGAAGACAGCAATGGGTACCGGTAATAATTACCTGCTCATTAGTGGAGCCTCGATCTCATCCATGAATTTATCTGAGTTTCGGGATGCTTCAGCACAGCATTACTGATTGAGGTAAAAATAAAAAAGAAACATTTGTGTCTGAATTTATCGCAGGTTCAGCGCTAAACAATTTTTGAAACAAAACAAGAACCGTTTACACTGGCGTGTCAAGCAAACTGCCATGTCCAGATTGTCATGTTTCAAACTGATTGGTTAGTTTTCAGCGTGACCGTGATCGTGTGACATGTCATCTGATAAGGTAGGGTTCCATTGATTGTAGGCCGTTTAAATAATACTCGTGCGATAATCAGCGCCCACTTTGCCAAACGATTCAGCTTTTTAATGGAGGATGGAAAGGAAAGGAAACAGTGTTCGAGGAAACAGTCGACGCAGTGCCTTAATAATAGCGCTGTCACCATAGCAGAAAACATCATAAATGGCACGGAACTGTGGGAGGACAATTTAGCTTATTTGACTGTCGATGATTTCAGCCCATTTCTGGGCATAAAGTATAGTGATATTGAAAAACTAACAAGATTGAATCTGGATAAACCGAAACCTGATGGAATCCCCAATGGAAAGGCAGATAATTACAATGCTCAAGCGGCAAATACCACGTCCATCGGTAAGATACAAAAATCAAGCATATGGGCAAGCAGGTACACTGGGACGTATTCCAGCTCATTGCGCTGCAAACGTTCGGGAAACTTGGATGATCGCAAGACAGAAACAACTAAGAGAAAACAGTCTAGTGTGACCAAAGTCATATGGGACTTCCAGTCAGAACCGATTCACCCGAAAATAAGTTTTGAGGCGCTCAAGGCACGTGCTGAATTGAAGCCTGATGCGCATGCACCCATGATTGGCTCAGATTGGTGGGTTGAAGTCCTTGTATACGCAAAATTGGGATACTGGTCACCAGAAATTCTGCCACCATCTTTGCAAACAACCGAAGCGAGCAGCGACATGGACCTTCGTTCCCTCACCAGTACGGTAGCAGCGATAACTCGAGGAACAACTGCATCCTCACAGCATAGTGTAAATCCAGGTAAGTGAGTTCCTAGGAGCTTTTAAGGTTCTTTTTTTCATGTAAATGTTCTAGCCAAAAGGTGGAAGCATGTATAAGCATCAACCCCCTCGGTGGAATGTTGTGTAATTCGAGGATTCTGAAGTCCATGCATCTCACTATCCACTGATGTATGTTCAAAGTAGTTTTTTAACAGTCACCTAGACACTCGTGTATAGTCTATAAAAATTCAATGACTTGCTGCTCAACAACATCTCTGAAAGATGTGCCCAGAAATTCCAGTAAATCCCCCATGATGACAGCCAAACCCATCATGGACAGCATGGTATCAGTGTTCAATACCGATGCTTCACTGCCGTACAACCATGATTTATTTAGAAGCCTTATTGTGAAGAAAAGAGTAAAGGTGGACGGGGAAGGGACTTAGCTTACCACAGTCATTCCGAGGTGCCTATACCTCCAGACACTCACTCAGACTATCTGGATAGAAACGGACAACAAGAACGCCACTGACATCGGTTAACAGCCATATCTTGTAGTGTCTCCAACCAGGCACAGCCAAACCCGATTATATTTATTTTATTCCTTGAAACCAATATCAATATACCGCTATATTTTGTTTTATATTCGAAAGAATGTAGCGGCCTAGTAGTTTTTTAAAACTTTAAACAGTATCCCAGGTTCCGCTAATGAGTTATGGTAAGACACGCGGATACTCGTTTACCGATGAGGCGCTCTGGATATCTATTTCAACTCAGCAGCTTCTGGAAACGATTCATTTTGTTTTATCATTGTATGCCACTGAAACTCCGATCACCCTTTAGTTCCGCGCGAATGAGCAGAGTCGTAGTTCAAGAATCGAATTGAATGCGTGGGTGTTATGCGAGCTGCTGTTGTAAACGTATAATCTTCCTTTAGTCACGGATGACAGACTAAGAAATTAACAGTCCTATGTTCCAGTCAGTCAGTATAGTGCCGTTGCACTGCTCGTTCAGGATACCTGACTGTAGTTGGTTTATGAAGAATCAAGGAAGCTTCTAGTCAGAACATATCATCTGGTGGCAGAGACGTCCAGTTTTCCAACAAAAATCAGTTATTCAAAGTAGAAATCAAGACCGTCAGACTGTTCTGGACTGGTAAATTGGTGATAAAAGAAGTCTAGCAAAATCCTAAACCTAGTTTAGCTCCGGTGATTAGCATCTCAACGAAACCGAAGGAAGGTAATCACTGCTGTCTCCGTGATGCCACATCGTTCAAGTCTAGTGCACCGTATTACAACCGGTTTGGGTGAGTTCGTTTTAAACCCATTGTTATGTATAATTTCCGAAGTAAAGCCTTCCAAGTTTTCAGCATGCTCCTGTGGTGATTGTCGGCCTTGTAATGAAATCCTCCTGAGGCAGAAAACAAAAAATGAAAGCAGTCGCAATGGAAAAGTGTGATGATGTCAATGCTAATTAGCACGTCCATCAGTGGGGCATTTCGACGTTCCTGAGAGAGGTCCCTTTTAAAGGAAATGCTATACTGACTCTCATTTGAAATGATGCGAATATACTGTGGGTAAGTAGGGCTTACAAATTCAGTTTTATATTCATTTAGATCACTTTATTTAAAGTCATTCTTACCCATCATAGGCTATGAATCTGAGAATAAAGATTGCCACAGTCCATAGGTCTCAGATTTTTGTACAAGTATAAGCTGTGCCGATTTTCTCTTGATATAAAATGAGAAAAATTTAAAGTGACCGGGCCACCTCTCCAAGTGCGTTGCTACACCCTCTTTATTCTCCATGTTATCGGCGAGAAACATTTCCAAACCCGCAGAAGAAACAAAAGTACGAATTGCAAATGTTTTTTTTTCAGTTGACTGTCGTCTTCAGTGTCATCTAATAACAAGACTGCGAGTTTTGAGGACTGACATCCAGCGGCTTCTAAACGTTAAAATTTGGCTAGCTTGTGGTGGCTAGGGTAGTCCTGGCCTAGAAGCAGAATCGCATCTTATACCCAGTTCAACAATTTTGTAATATCAATCTGAATGCATCACATTATTTTACACAGATTGTAAGCGCCAGTATTATTTCTCCTTTTCTTTTCGCAGCAAAACGATTCATTGCCAAATTTGGTGGCCTACATAGGTTTTATCAGAGCCTTTATGAAGGATCCGTCAGCACGGAAGACTTGGAAACTGCCATTCACCTCTGTCACTTTGGTCTGCATCTCGGTCTGAAACGCTCCATAAGAAACATGGAAGACAGGAAGCTTCAGCAAAGGCGTAGTCATCAGATTACACTTCGTTCATCAAGTGTAGCAGCAATGTATAAAGCGATACAGTCACAAGCCAAAAATGAGAACCGAAACTTAGTCGCTCCAAAAGATTTAAGAGCCGTCATAAACACGCTATTTCTGGGAGAGCTAAATTCATTCAGAGATATGTCATTTTACCAGAATCCTCAACAAGCAACATGCTTTGAAACTGCCGCAGATTCCAGCATTTTGTACAACACTCCACCGGTAAAATATGATGAGTCCGTTGGCACAGTGGACACATCAACTTCAGAACGATCAACCGAATCGACAGCTGAAAATCCTCCAGATACAACTGGTCTAACACAACCCAGTCAGCTGACCAGCCATGGAAATGAAAACTCCAAACCACGACATATGGACGCCAGTACTCAACTGACTTCTCTCAGTTCTCTGGAGTCTCGGATAAGTACTGACATACGTGGAGAGAGTCTAGAAGAAAGACAGAGTCAAACAACTAGATCTGCTCAGAACGTTAGAGTGGGAACAGACAAAACTGAAAGACGCTCATTACATCTAAATTTCACGCAAACTAAGCATCTGCCTAGCTATCCTCAACCATCCGTTACGGTAGCTACCACTAAGGCAAGTTGCGGTTCGCGTCTACAGTCTTTAAACTCCAGTAGGATATTTCCAAGTCACCGTACCACAAAAATCATTCGGCACCTAAGAAACATCATACCTGATTTCGAAAGTAAAATTAACATTCAAGACTTGCTCGAGCAAACGATACTGCAACTCAGCAACAAAGTACTCTACCATCCGGAGATTTCGGTCACGCAAGGAGATTCAGCAGAGGCTAGAGTACAAAAACTAGTCAGATTTACTTCTCGAAAGCAGCCAATCCTCGAAAGAATCCTCCGCCAGCAGTCAGAAGAGTTGTTATCCTACCTGAAGAAACCCGCAGAGCCCATAGAGCCTCAAGTCAGTTTCGATCAGCCCAGCTTGACCTGCCGTTTTATGCTGCCTACCATTCAACCAGATCGGCCCCCAACGAGAGTCACCATTTCAAACACGGTAGATGTGGACCACTCAGAATTAGTACTGAACAAAAGAAGGGGGAGCAAACTGATACGATCACCGCTGTCCGAGGATAGTCGTTCAAACGCCTCATATCTGTCGCTGCTAAGATGCGGTCCCAATTTTAAGACAACTAGTGAAGAAGGTTCCACTTCAGTCGACACTGCAGTCGATCCCTGTATACACAGATTGAGTGGGTCCTTCTACAGTAGCATTACACAGTCATCTGGTCACGTAAAAGCACTTGGATTTAGGCTAAGCGAACCCTTTCAATCAGAACGCGATCGCCACCTATTTCTCGTACCAAGGTTACCTCCCAGACCGGCAACTATGCTACAAGCGGTCAGTCAAGAACTACGTAAAGTCCACCCATATATTTTGGAGTATTTTACGCAAACGCTTCAGCAAGTTGTTACAGATAGTATTTGGGTGACGGAACGTAATCCGATCAAGCTCTTCCCGGCCTTGGAAAGGCTGGGTGCTGATCTTATGGCTTACCGACAGTCTTCAGGTCACGTGGTGCGATTCAAAATCATGTCGATCATCTCTGCATCCGGACGCAATAGGCTGCTGAGAAAGCAGTTGAAGCATGGTGCGATGCTGCAAGGGAACTGGTTAGATCAGCTTCTACGTTCTTTAGGCAGCCAGCAACCAAGCTGCCGCACAGAGGCTGCCCTGGCTTTAGCAAAATTAGCAAGCGAAACACGGCTGATGAATAAGCTTTTGGCGGAACAGCGATCCACCGTCATAACAGACATCTTCCATTCACTCTTCCGAGCCGCCGAATACTACCCGAAAAACTGGCCAGAATATTACATGACAATCTGTTTCTTCCTCCATCACAACCAGTGTCAGCGGATATTGGACAGCTTGCTCGATTGCGGCGCACAAGCTAGATCGAGCATCACAGGCCCAGGCTTCTTACACCTGTTGGGCTATATCTACACCTATTGGCCGAAAACTCTGCTGGAAACGCTAAGTGTGAACGAAAAATATCTAAATCGTCTGTTTGATACGGCACTGAGTAATCCGATTACCAAGAAAGCAACTCGAGAGACTATTGCTGCATTGTACGGGTACATTACCATCAAGACGAATTTATTCTCTCTGTGGCAACCAGAATCCAACCGTGTGAAACACAACACCTCGAATGTCGACAACGGGCGCTAGGAAACGAACCGGTGAAACAACCTGGTGTATGATTTGGGTTGTTGAACATCATCTGTACATACATTTGATAGGGTATGTCGCTTTGTCACTCAGGTAAACATCGATGTGATTTATTCCAGTTAACATATGATACAAACGGTTCCGCTGGCTAAGCCACCGCATCATGATTGGTGATCCTACTTGATGCTTATTTGTCGATAGAATTTCTATGCAACTACCTCATGTGACGCGAACTGAGGGGGTCGTTGGTGTTGAAATAACAAAATGTACGCATTGTACACTTATGTTTTTGTTCCCACATTGGCCACACGGTCGTTCAGTCCTCCGAGTTCATTTCCGTTGCCTGAATCCCAACAGGGCTCGGAAGCACAAATGGCAGTACAGTACGAGAAAGAAACTGCTGATTTTGCCACAAATTTGAACCGTTCTTTCTGTAGCCAAGGGTATCCGCTGATGCGTGTTGAGATTGTAGGTACGTTAAGCTGAGTGCAGATGTCAATCGTGATGAAAGATCCTGGTTAGTGTTGCAAAAAAACTGGTTACAGGACAAGTGTTTATAGAATAAAAAAAGGCAACCTGATCCAAAGGAAATCTGTGGTTGAATACAAGTTCCAAAGAACCAGGGGTTTCATTCCTAGGTGTTCAATCTCATTATTTTGTCGTGACCTTTGTATACTTGAAGCTAGCATTCGAATTGGATTTTCCGGTCAACAGTGGTAAGAGCACTGGATACCTGTGCATAGTAGGCAAGCCGGAGGCCGTTCGCACTGAGCCGAATGTAGTGCTGTGTGCAAGTCCTTGGCGTTTATTTAAATTCGATGGAATATGTATGTATCTATCTATCTATCTATCTATCTATCTATCTATCTATCTATCTATCTATCTATCTATCTATCTATCTATCTATCTATCTATCTATCTATCTATCTATCTATCTATCTATCTATCTATCTATCTATCTATCTATCTATCTATCTATCTATCTATCTATCTATCTATCTATCTATCTATCTATCTATCTATCTATCTATCTATCTATCTATCTATCTATCTATCTATCTATCTATCTATCTATCTATCTATCTATCTATCTATCTATCTATCTATCTATCTATCTATCTATCTATCTATCTATCTATCTATCTATCTATCTATCTATCTATCTATCTATCTATCTATCTATCTATCTATATATATATATATATATATATATATATATATATATGGGTAAATTATACTGAAACATAGAGGTTCATGGATGATAGTAGTACCACACTGCTGAACGCACTGTTGGTGTCCATTGCAATGTCATTATATTTAACTCAGCCGGTTGCTACCAAAAGATTTCTGCAATTTTGCCTGCCGATTTCATTCCGTCCTACGTACATCGGATTCGCAAGTCCATCCCAGCACATCCAAATCAGAGCAAACCTATAGCCTGTGCGCAAGCGTCCAGTGATGAAACCATCGTGGACAGGCAAATCAGCATCAGATGTCACTCAAATGTATATGAGACTCTCCTTACAGAAAGTAGAGCAGACCAACTAAAACTAACGACTTCTAGGAGGCGGTCTCTCCTCACGAGGAAACACCACAAACAGGACTTAAAAATACCAAGGGTGAGGTGATTTTTAGTAAAAACTCAGTACTCTCGAATGTACCACAATTTGGATCTGATGAAAACACATCAATACGTCTAAAGAACCAAAAGTCAACTCCGAAGATCCACTATAATAACTGGATGGGGCATACGACTCTGTATAAATTAACATTAACCAAATCATTTTGATGCAAACTAATGCCCTGGTGCGTGAAAATCTTCAAATGCTAGTCATCTACTTCACCCAGTGACTGAAAATCCGCGTCTGATTCGTAAGTGATGAACTGCATTGCACTGTCTCCACACAAATCCACATTCCAAAGTATCTGTAACGAAAAGCGATGTGCAGTCTTGAGGCTACCTTTCTGAAAACGCCAGATGTACATTACTCGAAACTTGTTCTGTCAGTGTGAGAGTTCAGTAAACAGAAAATTAGAGTGAAAATTGAGGACGGTCCAAGTTCGCAGTGTATCGAGTCAGTTATTCAGGCAGGTCACGCTCACGTCGCTGGCTCCGACAACTCACGCCTGGTGTACAGTCTTCCTTTGTCAGACGAGCGAACAATCGAACATGGGATATCCATCAAGTAAATTCCTGTCCACCATGATGATCCAAGGGTCTCTGTAAACCGATGAAATTTTGATGACTATGATCACAGCGGGATGCATTAACAAATGTCGCATCGGAAGCGTATCTCGGTGTTTCGCAGTTCTGTGCACCCATCAACCACAATAGTTTCCATTAAGCAACCAATACTCTTCTGATTGCTTGTTTGCTGTCTTGTTGGGCTAATTGTATGTTCTGTTCCCACTGATATCGTATGTTCACCTAAACAATCGAATATAATCTATCAAAAACCCTCACAATGACTTACTGTTTAACATCTCTGAAAGATATACCCAGAAATTTGAGTATATCCCCCATAATTACAGGAAAAATCGATTATGTTTGTTATTCCTTGAAATCAATATCAAAACCGTACACACCTCAACTCCGCATGCTAGTGGCATGACGGTTGAACACTTCACTCCATATAACCTAATTCCCTCCGACCCACCCATCCTAAGCATTACAGGTAGCGGTTACAGGATCATCCACGCAACCGGGAAGTGGCCAAGGGGCTTGGTCCTCTATTCAGACTCACGCACGACAGAGAGCCACGAGAAACGAACGTCACATAGAATGAAGACACCAAAGTTCCTGGTGGAATTTAAATGGTACGGAAACAAGTTGCTGGAACTAGTCTCCAACTTTTGAAGTAGGGGATCAGTGTCACACTGGACCGAACCGACTGGGTTTGTCTCGTTGATTCCGCTTCTGGCATCAACAAGCTTGAATGCGTCTCCGGCAATGCACCTTTACAATGCACTGCTGATTCAGTGCAGTTTACAGACAAGGTGTGGCAATCTTCCACCTGATCACGTTTAGGTTACACAAAGCGTTTTTCACCGGGTTATAATAACTCTTCCTAGGGAGTCTCTTGTTGCGTTCTAGAAAATGCTTTCCGAACAATGAAGCTGAACATTTTAGCTCTGGTAAGATCATTCCCTCTGAAAAAATAAGGACACGTTGGAAGACTGCTTATTTAAGTGGATTTGCTATTGATGGTGAACTGAAAGTCCAGCCCGAAAATCCAAAAGAGTGAAAAGTTTTGCTACGAATTTGCGTCTTTTATTAATCAAAACTAACCACAAAATCCACAGGTTTTGGCACACAGTTTTCCGGCAACTTTGGAGTTCTCATCGCAACGTCCCGTCCTCACTAAGGAGTGGCAGTCGACCGCAGAAAGTTGATCAAAGCAATCATCTATGGGTGGGACAAAAAAACAACAGGAAAAGTCACTCGTCCTCAGAAAGAACCGACGGTCCTATGAGACTCGACGGAAGAAGTGTAAAAACTTCAATCCTTACGACTCTACAAGCCGATCAAAGGTAACCGTCACGGTGACCTCGCGTTTAATTATGCAGTTACTCCATGAGAATGATCAAGCGAGGCAACGTGATCAATGCGGTGGGTGAACAGAGAGAGTACCAAGCAGGCGCCGATAAAAATATAGATCGATTTTAGAGATGTTCTTTCCAGTTAAGTCTGTCTTAATTCTGGGTCGTATGACTCATGGAATTCGGTCTACAACTCAGTAAAACAGAAAACATGGTATGCAGCGATTTAAACCACCTTTGATGGTCATAAGTTCAACGCCAATTTAAACGTCAGGTTTGATGATAGTTTCGAGGTGGAACGATGAACTTGGTGGATGCAGTGGTGCTCGAAGGTTGTTAACACAAACTGCTAAGTATGATAGATCAATGCAAGTGTGTCGGAAAGTCGCTTGGCTAAAAGCAACGAATCATAGACCACACGAGCTCAGAAAGCATCAATGTTCCAAAAGGAGAGAGTTTACTTGGCACAGTATCTCCAGTGAGTAGGCCAACTAAGTGCCAACTACATTGTACACTGTTCGTCATAACCACTTTCTCCGGTGGAATGGTTTGGAACTACGCAGGATTATTGGAGATAGTCCGTTATCATTTTGCCCAAGTTGTTGGTGTCCTTCAATAGATTCGTGAGTAGAAAACACCAAGACAGGTACACGACAGATATTGATTCACCCGGACTGCATGTATTACCAGTTGCCTGAATGACGGCTGAACACGGAGGGCCATCGGTAAGAAATAGGCCCAACTGCTTAGTATATACACCACAAGTTACAAATTGGCATTAAAAATGCTATGTTGAATGTATGAAATGCCGAACGCACGAATTTCAAATCAGCGACTCTGTGGCAAATGAGAGTATGGTTGTATTTTGAAGTCAACGGACCGGTGTTATCCAGTCTGACGCCCATACACGGTAGACCGTAGGTTATTGTGCGCAGGTATCTTTGGAATTCAATCACCACTGGAGTCATGAATGCAAATTTCAAGACCTCAGATTCGCTCGCGTGTGGTGCCTGTATACGGTATCCGGAAGAGGCAACTATGTTCTTCATGCAAGACTGCTAGCTTTTTCCGCTTGTCGGTCGGCTAATTGATAATCTAGGCGGACTATTAGTTGGCAATACACACCGGTTTATGTTTTCAAAAAATTTTTGATCCCAAGAGGTCAATTTCGAAGGTGAGCATTTTTACTGATAACCAGACAAAGCCTGACAGCGAAGGTCAGCTTATATTAGGACAAGTTTCAATATGGTGAACCCTAAACTCGATCTATGCTGCTTTGTGGACATTTGTGGCCAATCAAAAGTCTTGGCGGAGAGAACCGGTGTGGACATTACAGCAAGCCTTGAACTTGAAAGTGCTCCATAATTCACAACTGTTTTGAAGGTTGGCGAGAAAACAGGCACGTGTTCAGCTTGAGCGTCCCCGGTGCATCTCAACTGCCTGAGTATGCTCTCGCCTTTCTACGGAATCTCCAAACAAGTTACGATCGTCATCTTTTAATTGTTTGTCTGAGTATGTGGATGTCTTTACCACAATTCTACAGGCTTCCTCTTTGATAACTCATCATTATCATCGACAGCATGACATCGGTGTTCAACACTGATGCTTCACTTCCGTACAACCATGATTTCTTTGAAAGCCTCATTGTAAAGAAAAGAGTAAAGGTGGACGGGGAAGGGACTTAAGGCTAGCTTACCACAATCATTCCGAGGTGCCTACACCTCCAGACATTCACTCAGGCAATCTGGATAGGCAATCTTGATAACTCGTTTTCCAAATTAGTGCTTCATGACAAAAGCTGCTTGGTGAACAAATATTGGTTGCTGGTTCGCAGGTCTTATTTTGAGGAAATGCAGTATTTCGTGCCCGCCTAGGAAGATATCAACCCCTTGAATTAGGGTACTTGGTATCCGGAACCCAGATATACGATGAACCCGAAATTGCAAAGTGTCCATAGGGTAAGGATAGAAGAATGAGAGATTCAGTTGAGTCTCTCGTGAAAACCAAATTGATTTGCAAATGAGTGTATTTCTCCAAAGCAGTCCAATTTGGGTTCAATTAGAACATAAGGTTGACGGAAACTCGTGGACTGCGCCTATCTGATGAGCCCCAAGAAGGGCGAAACCGGTCGTGGTTTGTCGAAGAATATTCAGCCACCTTTTGAGTAGTTTGCTTTAAAAAAAATGATCTACTTTAGAGATTGACTGTAAATGAGCGGATAAGTGGGCACGAACAAGCGGGGACAGTACCCCAAATAGCGGTGGGTTCCGGCCCGGTCAGTTGATAACAGTGTCTGGGCAAGGCCAACGTGGTTAAACTTCAAATAGAGTCACTGACCAGGGGTGTAAGGCTATGGAAAGACGTAAGAATAGCTCCATCTTATTGAACCTACTGCACGAACGACCTCTGCCATTCCTGTGATAGGGCATTTCGCTTAGCTGGCAAGCCACAGGAACGGAGTAGAAAGTTCAAATTTGGGACCCGAATCTGGATCGAACCGTTCTGGTGTTCACCGGCATATGTGGTCGTATGATACACTGGAATTCCAGGATGGTTCCCCACCATGCAAGAGATGTGTGAACTATGACCTCGTGGTCATAAACTCCGAATCTCAGCCCTAATATCTCACGGTTCTTCAACTAGAAACTTCAGATAGAGCCCATTAATTTAACTCCCTATCGCGGCTTGGGTAAGTGAATGGTAGCTGGCCCTCTAATTCTACTACTGTAAGCCCGAGTCTGTGAATGTATATATACATATACATATTATATATGTACGGGTAAATTAGCGGGAACGTATGTGGTGAAGGTCATTTTACGTGGGAGGAGCAGCGCGGATGCCAATACTAATCGTAATTATGTCAGTCATCATCATCGTGCTCCACCAAGGACACGTGAGTAGAATCGATCAAAAACAGTGCACTACAGGTGTAAGATACCGCGAACTCCTCAGTAGAAGGTCTTATATTAACACAAACCTAGTTTAGACAGCTCAACTTATAGAAACACGAAAAGAGTTGTGCAATATGACACGAGCTCAGACTAATGGATGGAAATGTTTTATCATTTAATAGAGCATTCAGCATTTGCGGAAAGGCGGGGCAAACTGGTGTACCTCCAAGGGCCTCCAAATTTCTGTGGCCTAAAAGCTGTAGTCAGGTTCGGGATGTGGCCAAAAGCAAAAAGATGGTTAGTTATGGAGAATTACAGACACCGTACTTCATCCTTGAACAGCCACATGGGCACGCGTCCCCCTCCTGAACGCCTTCGCTGCGTGGTTGACTGATTAAAACTGATCACGCATCCTAAGTCAAGTGCAGCAATGGTGGCGAATACAAATCTTAAACGGGCTTGTTTGCTACCTGCGTTTTAAAAGTTCTGGGAGTTTTTTACCCTGAGTTCCCTATATGAAAACAGTCCTTCATTAGGAGTGGCTCAACATCAGATTGTCAGGTGGATCCGAGTAAGATTGAGGGATGAAAAAAATGAAGATGTTTGGGGATGTACAGACAAGGGAAGAGGTTTTCTCAAACGAGCCTCCAGAACGAATGCGCGCACTTACTTGGGTGTGAATGTGGCACCGGTATGCAGTGTTCCTTTCGTGTGATTACTCGACGTATACAATCCGAAGGATGCTTTGCATGTATCACAGTAGGACGCGTATAAAAAATGATATGACGAAGTCTTTGTCCATTGGAGCACGGGCTGGTTTCAACTTCTACCGGTGGACAGCCGTCACAATAAAACGAGCGTTCCGCCCTTGAAATAGAAAGGAAATAGGTTTTGGCACGTGCGAAAAGTAGTAAAAGCAAGCTTATCTTCCCGAACATCTTTGCAAAAAAAAGAGAATTATACACACCGACGGAATGTTCACGGAAAGAAATAAGCAGCGTTTTGTCCTCAGCAAAAATATATAAATCACTATGTTAAAGGAATGATTCCTCTCAGTTTTCACCTGAAGTCATCCAAATCGCGTTACAACTCCCTCATAGTGGAACCAATTCTCAAAAGAACTGCAGGAAAAATGCCCAAATCCGGTTGAATGTGGTTCGATAGTATACTGCTCGCTATTCACATACTCTTCTACCCCAAAAGGATAAATATATTTCTCAACCACCAGGTGTGCCCTTTGAAACAAAACGTATCATCAGCTGTTTACGAGCACTAGCTCTATTTAACCAGCGGGTTGATAAAAACTAAGCACAAGCAGTTCTCAAATGTTTGTATAGGACATGTATTTCTCATGTCAAAGGACCATCTGCCTCGCAGAGTTCTTTTCACCGAGCCCTGTGCTGAATGGAAGCGACAGGTGAACAGTATATGGCAACCAAGTGTGAAGACACGAACCGATCTGGTCGAAAACTGCCACCTCCCTGGATGGTCAATGACACTGGTGGACATGACCAGGTCGCCCAGTAAGTGACGCTCGTGCATCTAAGCTATCGACTTTAATGCGTAGCTGCCCATCTTCACAAGCCTCCAATGCTGTATTTGCGACACTTTCCGGTGATCAAAACTGCAGCAGCTGGAATCAATGCATCTATGAGACATGGTTCATGGCCGATAAATTTATGGATTAAACTGATGCATAGGATTGTGTCCATCTGAATATTACCTTTGAACCGGTATTGTCAAGTCAGTGCACTTTGAGTTGGTGCCAGACTGCACTCATGTTTTTGTAGCCATGTAATCTGAAAATATCTTGAAAAACCTTCGATTTATAGCTAGAGGGTCTTCAGTTCAGAGTGACGAGCTAGCCATGAGAAAACGATTACCAGGTTCGTCAAACTTCAACCCAGTGACAACCTTAAACCCAAAAACTCGGGGCAGTTGCAAGGTCCAATCGCTGGAGGCGAATAGGATGGGAATGAACGAATATACACTCATTTGCAAACAAATTTAGTTTTGCGAGAGACTCACCCAGAACGCAGCTGAATCTCTCATTTGTGATGTTTCCAGGCAACTGAATGTGCTGCACCAGGTCACTTCATGTTTCAGTCGTTACGATATTCGAGATATCGAGATACATATATGTTTTTGTAATGCACTACTCATAAGGTTGCTGAAAATCCGTCGACAGCCCACGACCGGTTTCGCCTCTTTGAGACTCATCAGGTAGGCACAGTTCCCGTCAACCTTATGTTCTACTTGAAACCAAATTGCACGAAATTAGCGAATATACACTCATTTGCAAACTAATTTGGTTTTGGATGGGAAGTGATTCTTGATGTGACTCGGTGCACTGCTTTCCTTGGTTATACCCGAAACAATTCATTTGCATAATTACTCTGCCATTCGACCTCACAGTCAAAGGTCAAGCGAACAAACAGTAAGAATCAATACAAGAAATCATCCATTAGTTTAAAAAAGTGAAAGTGAGCAGCACCATTGGGTGTATGAGGGCTTTGGGGCGATACTGAAGATAGTTTATCTCATCACCTGTTTGCTCGAAATGCAGGAATCAGAGTGAAGTTAGAATGCAGCTGAGTCTGAATATGTGACTGTGGTTAGACTACAACCATGTATGCAGTTCGTCACCTGATAAGCGAGACAGCTGGCAAGTAGTAACAACAACAATTTAAATGAGTCGAGTGTTATTCAGTTGAGAAAAATGGACAAGAAGTGGTTTGCCCCAAGGCACTCGGTCCTTGAGGCGGCCCTCGGTCTTGAAGAAAGCCGTGACAAATAATCCTAAAGCGTTTGACAAGCAACGTCTTTGAGCTGGTTTCTCACCTCCGAACACGACAACATCCGTGTACATTCACCATGTATTCAGTAATCAACTTGATTTTGGCTTGACCCAAACCGTGAGGAACTGGCATGCACGCAGTGATAGATTGTCTATCGGACTGTGGAGCCAGACAGTTGGAACAACTGGCTTTCTCGTGATCCACATCGAAAACGCAGCTTTCCTCTTTTGTTGCTGGTGCCTGGCCGTCAGTAAGTCGAGCTCGAACGTGTGTGATGTGGCGAGTACCTGATTTCTCGTCGCACTCGTGTACTACACTGAATTTGCCAACCGGACAATCTGAAACGATGAAATCGATATGAAAAAGTGGTCTCTTCTTGTACCATGAGTACTCGCCTGTAAAATTCACATAAACTCTTCCTAATATCAGTCTAGAGATTTCTGGATGCAGCAGTTACGTTCTTGAGCAGAAAGAACTGTCAAAACCCGCCACTGTTTTGTTGACACTGCTCAGTTGATCATTGTTCATTAATCAATAAATCCCATTTTCAATTATTCCTTGGAGCCAATCAATAACGCTTATTGTCATGTGTGTCGATTGTTTTACACAATCTATTCAGCTGAATCGCTTTTCTAATCGATACAGCTTTTCCAGTTATATGTACAAAACAGTAGCGTTCTGTCTAATGCGGTGAGATAGGCCTATATGAGGTAGCTTGTCTCAAACAGATCAGTGGTTATCGGCTTAGAAAATGACTGACCCAAGTTGGCACTGCGGCTGTTTTTGTGAGCACTTACATTCACAGACAGTCCTCCGTTTCATCATCTCCGTGATGCACAACTTGTGTAATGGATGCTCACGGTAGACAATTTTGATTTCCAAGGTGTGCCCGGTGCGATCACATCGTCCTCGAATCATGTGGCTTCCACGACAGTGACACAATCCGCATGACTTGGTGCACATCTGTGTCAAAAGGGTTTATCAGAATTATTAAAAGAATGGTAAAAACTGCGTGGTTGGGTTTTGGTCGAACACAAAGAAGGCGACCGTCCTTAGTCTATGAACAGAAAGGTTATGAAAAAATTTCGAGAAGTCGATGGCCACGCAATGCCAGCTTTCTGAAATCTGAAGCGGAAATTACAGTGATAAATCGTCCATTCTTCACTGACTTCAACTCAACTGCACGCAGTTAAAGAGCCCCAGTAAAGGTGAAACAGTTTCACGCCGCTTTGCTGATCATGGCTACTAAAAACCAATCACTACCGCAGCGGAATGTAAAAAACCGTTTGACACCAAGGAGTCAAATTTGTCATGGCGAGAATAATTCAAGATTGATTTACTTTAAATCAGAATATGACTCACAAAATCCTCCTATGTTGGTGAAGTATGAATGCACGTGGAGTGAATACACATACTAGTTTACGACGGTACCTCCCGGAACTTAGTGACTCAGCTTTGCGCCCACTGAGTCTGGAGCAGTCTAGAATGAAATTAGCCTCGGCATCTCCGATCATTTTCGACCCCATGCGGTGACTTATTGGGGCTTCCAGAAAAACTCGTGGCCATAGCAGTCGAAAAGTCGGCAATAACACCACATCCTATCGTGCAGTGCCTCGATCGAGGAACATTACAAACGGCCGATTATCACTGTGGTTAATTTGATTTCAATGTATCATAAGTGAGACTAGAAAAGCAGTGACGCTCAACATCTCGCTGTTGGATGAGTTGCCAGATTACTTTCCTGATCAAACATCCATAAGTTGTAATACGCCGTGCGGAGTAAACCTTCCGTGAACTGAGAAGTTTCATCTGGATCAATGATCGTCAAGCTAAAGTGTTACCTATCACAAAACGCGAAGTTCTCATTTTTCTTTCTAGCATTTGCATCAGCCAGTTGAGGATGTCTCACTTATGAAATGGAGATTGCTGTTGAGTCTACAGTAATCGGTCCCGCGATATACGCGTGAAACATGATGTTCAAGATGGCGATGAAAAGCAAAAAATTACTGGGAATCGCCGAAACATTCAGAGGTAGATAGTTAGCAAAATGTTGAAAGCATAACTATTCTTTGCCGTGACACATTATCCTAAGCATACGTGATCCAACCTATCCCATAATGATAAAAAACTAGAGGGATTTGAATGGACTTAAGTAGGAATCCGAATGAATGTGCCACACAACTCTCAACAGTACGGAACTTCCCCAATGCTTGTTTCGAACTCTCCTGGTTCACTTACAAGGAACGCATGTGGTGCTCAGACCGGGCAACAGTTTATTCTTCATTCACTTCATTCATTTCCTGCTTTCGCTAGTCGTTCTTTCGATCAATTAACCAGACAGCCTTGATAAACCAGTGACGTTTCACGTGATTTTATAGATCTGAGGAGACCGAACATCAAAATGGTGATATATATCTAGTTATTATCATGAGATTTTGTGACTATGTTGTCTAAATACGCATTTTTTTGCGGGTCAGAAAAAGGGTATGGGCATATAAGCGGACGATTCGGTAGCAAAATCCGTCCGAAAATATGCGAATGAAAGTTGAGGAGTTTATATGAAATCAAATACAAACTATTTGGTTTAATTCTCAGCTTGTTCAATAAAGTAGGGCCCGCGGCAAGTCAGCTTTAAATGAGATAGAGTTATGTATTCACATATATATATATATATATATATTCATCAACATACATTCATCAATTTTCCTAGTTCATCTGCTACAGTAAGTACATCAGAGTAAACTGAACCGGGACAAAAAACTCTCCGCAAAGAGATGAAATTTGTATTCATTCTTATTAGGGCCATTTTTCAGCACTGTTCTAAGGGAGTGAGTGTACCGTATTGATTACCGAGGATAATAGCTGTTGTGGCATGGATCTTCTACTTAATACAAGTTGAATGGCACTCACAAAGACCGTTTACTTGCCTCTCTTATTCGTTCGTTTGTGACAGCAATAAGGTTAATTACACACTGTGTCAATCAGGGTGAGAGTCATGAATGATTCTCCTGACAGGAACTCGTGTGTTACCTTGACAAGCAGAACATTTGTAGTATACAGTAAACGAACGTACCTTTTTCATACTGATATCTCTGCACAAGTGTGGATTTTGTGTGATCACGGACTGGCACCATAAGGGTGGTTTTGTGTCCAAGCAATTCACGTGTGGACCATCGAGCACAGTGCTTGTTCCCACAACACACGGAATCATTCCAATCCACTCTTTGGCCACGCATCTCCCAGACGAAGTTTGTGTGAAGTACCGTACACGAACCTGTTTTGCACAGTGAGTGACGGGTTTGAGCTGATCTTCAGTTGGATCCACTTGATAACTGGGACGGAACTGATGGCATTCGCACTTCGATAAATCTATCGTTTGTGGTTTCGGACATTCTGGCGGGATATTGGAAGTGAGGTACAATGTTACGCTTAGCAGTCGCATTTGTACACTTAGTGAAACTAACAGTAACTGGTGTTCGCTTACAGACAAAGACGACATTCCCATAATAAATGCTTTGGTGACGCCAAGGGAGTCTGATCAATGGCCAACATGAACAGTGGGTGCGAGTAAATGTGATTCACTGACCTGTTGCGCAAGTTTTTCGGAATAAAATACATTTTCTTGCATTCCAGCCCTCCAAATCCTGCACCGTAGAGCCAATTCTTACTGTCCCAGGATCCAAACGTTTCATCAGGGTAGGTGGATCAACACGGTTGAGAATGCATTTAGGTCGGTCGGCCTGGTCATCGCGCGGCACATAGTAATCAATACTGGAGCATTCAGGTGTTTGTGCACAGGCCAGTTTACACGCTGCTAAATCACCTCGCTTGACCAAGGCACGTATGAAGAACATTCGTTCGTAACGTTTATCGGACACAATGCAGGCATCTGTTAGTTGACCAAGGACAACACTGAACTTGGTCTGGTCCAGTGGACAAGCTGAAAGAAAGCAAGGAGAACACACAATGATGTTCGATAGTGGTAAAGCCCACAAGATGATGATATGGTAGAATGTGGTGAATCTTGGAACTTTCAACTGGGATTTTGTCTTATAAGTGGAGCCAATATACAGTGAAAAGCCTAGAAACATTGCAGGTCTGCTTTATCTGTATTGGTAATCATCAGCAGTGCATATATCACAAAACTGCAAGTAGTTTTGAAGCCGCGACAGACTTGAGATGCCGGATGCATCCTTTCAGTTCGGTAATGTGTCGAAATATTGGTAGCTCGGGTGAGTTTATTGGATGTTGATCTGTGCACAACCGCACACTGACGGTGTCTCCTCGCACGGTGACGAAACGTTTGCAAGTCAATTGCCAAGCTCGACGGACAGATCAACAGTCAATCAATCAGATCAACAATCAATCCTTTCATTTCACTATCCTTGAAGGAGTTTTCACCTTATTTTGTTTCGTTCACGAAAAGCTATGGGTTTAAACTTAGGTTTTGTCAAGAAAGAGCCAAGAAAGATAATCTGTCAACATGTGTTTTGAAAACTTGTTTCTACTGGTAAGACATTCCTTCCCAACGTCTTGCTCATCAAGGCCCAACTACAAAGTAACAATTATATAATAATATCACCAACGTGGATATTTTCAGTGGATTCTCCCCGATGCACCATGAACGGTTCTGTTTGTACTCGTTCATGGATGACGAAGACACTGTGACAACTCGAAACACCGGAGCGATTCGAACCTGCGACAAGTGGCTGGTCAGTTGATTATTTCGGCAAAAGCACCAAACCTTCGATGGAGTACCTACCCATTTTCAGTTTTCCTTTGATTGCTCAAACACTCAGGAAAAAACCCGTATCAATGATTCAGACGGTCACTCTGTTTGACTAAAACTGGTCAACTGTGGTCAAACTGTATCAATTAAGTTAGTGTGGGCCCACCGTAGCGAAGATTGAGCGGTTGTGTACGGGACGCCGTGAGGCCATTGGTTTGTTCACTGAGCTGGACACCATTAGAAACTGTGCTACCAGTGTATCGGCGGATGTTACTGATTAGACATGTGAGTAGCATGTGGTTTTCTCGAAACTCTGCCTCGCATCTAATGGAACTTGTGGAACTGCTTTGCGGCGTTGTTTACAATGTCGATCAATGAATATCCACGAAAGTTCAAGAAGACGCGCGAGGATGTTCAGCTCTAAAAAACAACGTGCATATGAGAAGTTTGTGTCCTGTCCAATAGTTTGTAACTGTTTAGTTGGTGTTTGCCAATAAGCGACTTCTTGGCGAACGGCTTTCTTCCTTTCACCAGTATTCCCTTGAATCAAATTGTTACTTTCAGGCTTGGCAGTTCCAATTCCAAACTCGCTCCTCATAACGGAGATGGTCAGAGAGATCTGATCGATTGCTTGGGACAAAATTAGTTACCTATTAGAGTACTTACTTGTACATTGCTTGCATGTTCGTCGGCACAGAAGATCTCGTATTTGACCGGGTTTCTCACAAACTTGATGAGGTGGATGTTCAAGTGTAGTACACTGTTTGACCGGCAGCAGGTCAATGCAGTCGGCAATCTGGTACACGGGTAGAACCAATTGAGCATGCCCTTTGACGGGTGATTTAGCTGCCTGTGACGTCACAGCCATGTTTTTGTTTGAAGAGACTGGACCATGCACCAATGCAGGGTTAACTGGAAGCCTGGAACATTTTGTTACCAACCTCCGAATCCTCGTGTGACACTGACAGTCTGTTACAAGATGAAGTCTCAGAGTGATGTGAACAAGTCCGTTGACACATCCAGAGTATTTGATTTGGCTTCGTGGACAGGCTACAGGGATAAGCGAAATAACTAACTAGAAAATGATAAATTATGCTCTTATCATATCCAATGTTCGTAAATACAACTCTTAGCGTTTCAAACCAATTCGTTTTGAAACAGAATACGTTGACATTCAGCTAGATCCGGGATAGAAGAAACCTAGGTCAGTAAAACTGTTGCGTGAGCACCACTGATCTCGTGACTAGGGTAATCTTTTCTAATTTTGAAAACGCACATACCTCGGGAAGATCAACATCTGTGTATACGTAAAAATTTGCACCATTTCAGGCAGCCAATTAAACTCACAGACGAACAGAAGCAGTGGCTTTCATGTGCCACAGATCACATTTCGAGTAAGTCATCTCGACAGAACTACAGTGCATTACGAAACCCAACAGTGTTAAAGTCATCTAAGTTCTGGTTATAGGATTTAGACTCCATACCTCGGGCAGATTCCAGGAGCGCCAACTTGTGTTCAGTAACCACAAAAGCGAAGTTCACTTTCCTTTTTGCCTGGCCTATCAAAAGGTCTTCACTCAACGGTCCTTCCTTCCTAGTACGATCATGTGGTTCTGTGTGGCTACGCGAGTGCTGAGTCATTTGAGCTCCCAAACACAGCTGGATTCTCGTGGTTTTTTTGAAGTCATGGCAAGAAGGAAATAGAGCACTTCCTTCCTAATACG